ATTTGGAGGTGGATTAAGGTCAAATCCTCTAGGAGTCAATCAGAATCTGTCGTTCATTGCATCACTCTTTCTATCGTTCTTTCTATTCTTTTTATCATTCTATCTATCTGTCTGTCATGCTATCTATCATTCTGTAGTTCTATCTATATGGTTCGATCTTTCTATCATTCTTTCTGTTGTTGTTATCGTTCTGCCCATGGTTTGATCGTTCTGCTATTCTGTGTATCTTTAGATCATTTTTCTACGGTTCTTTCTATCCTTCTGTTGATCTTTCTATCGTTCTTTCTGTCATTGTATCTATTGTTCTATATATTGTTGTTTTGGTTCTTTCTATTTTTCTAACTTCTAGCTATCATTCTTTCGTTCATTCTATTGTTTTATCTCTCTTTTTTCTATTGTTCTTTCTTTAATTCTGCCTTTCTATCTACTGTTCTGTAGTTCTATCGTTCTTTCTATTGTTTCTATCGTTCTGTCAATGGTTTGATCATTCTATCTTGGGTTCCCTCATTCTATGTATCGTTTGAGCATTCTGTCTATCATTTTATTGTTCATTCTATCTGTCGTTCATCATTTGTTCTGTCTGTCTGTCTGTCTCTGTTTCTATCTGTCGTTCTGCCTGTCTATGTCTGTTTATCATTTCATCATTATATCTTTCTGTCCATCCTTCCATCGTTTCAGCATTCTATCATTTTATTGCTTTCTATCATTTTTTTCTTTTGTTCTTTCTATCATTCTATCATTGTTTGATTGTTTCAATGTTCTTTCTATTGTTCAATCTATCACTCGATCATTAAATCATTCTAACGTTCTATCTATGGTTGAATAGTTCTGTGTTTGTCTTTCGCTAGTTTGTTCATTCTATTGTTCATTCCATCCATCCATATATATATATATATATATATGTGTATGTGTATGTGTGTGTGTGTGCATACATATATGATACAAACTCATATTAAATTAAATGTTTCATGTGAATTCTACAGAGCTTCCACACCATACATAAATGTAAAGTAAAATCAAACTAGCCAAGAATAAGCTAGCCATGTATTGCCTTTGTTTTGAAAAAGGTTACAAAAAAGCCTTTAAGTCAGAAAGTTGTAGGATTAAGATCGATCGATCTGTCTGTCATTGTCTATCTACAGTGGGTATAGAAAAGAATCACCCCTGTTGAAAATAATCACATTGTGTTGCTTTGAAGCATGAAATGAAGACGAGATTATCTATTTATCTATCTATCTGTCTCTCTCTCTCTCTCTCTCTCTCTCTCTCTCTCTCTCTCTCTCTCTTTCGGTCAGTCGGTCTGTCTGTCGTTTGTTTGATCATTCTATCTTTGATCATTCAGTGGTTCTCTGTGATTCTGTCTATCATTATGTCTATCATTCTATCTGTGGTTTGATCACTATCTATTGTTTTATTACTCTTTCTGTCATTTGTTCGTTCTTTCTATTGTGTGATCGTTTAACTTTTCTTCTGTCATTTTTTTCTATGGGTGGATGCATCACTCAATTGTTCTGTCTATTGTTCTGTCATTCTGCACATCGATCGTTCTGTTTGTAGTTCAGTCATTATTTAGCTATCTATTGTTCTATCTGCCTACACTGATCTATCCATCCCTCCATCCATCCACCTGTCCATTTTTCTATCCCTCCATCCACCTTTATGTTGACTTATCTATCCCTCCATCCATCTGACTATCCATCTCTCCACCCACCAGTCTGTCCATCCATCCATTATGCACCCAATGATATATTTTAAGAAGAGTGAATATTTTTTATTTTTCTCCCAGCAGAATAGTCAACATGTTCCGACATCCTGCCCTACAAAGATGTTTCGGATTCCTATTCCACGTCCTCTGTAAATGACTAACAGGAAAGAACTGTGCGCCGACTGACCCAGAAATGAGCGAGACTCATCCACAGCGCGGGAGTGTATCAGTTCCTCTGAGCAATCCCACCATCGTACCGGCCCCTCGCACGAGACTCTCAATCAACTATGCATGACTTGCCCTTAATAGGTTTCTTCACTGGAAATTTGGAACGGTTGTTAGCTGCTCGACTGGTATGGAACCACTTTGGTCCCTCGAGAATGGAGCTATACTATAACAGTCTGCAAGAACAACTATCACATGGCCATAGTCATAAAAGCAAGAAGGGAGGAGAAAGGTTGCTATTCTAATTTGCAATCTATGTAACGTGAAATATTTGAAGTTTATTATAGTGTCACTTTCTGTCTGGTTGAAATGCAGATGAAAGTAGCCCCAGAGACATGCTCTGCTTTTAATGTCCACACAGACAATATACTGTATGTATGTATGTGTGTGTGTGTGTGTGTGTGTGTGTGTGTGTGTATATATATATGTATATATATATATATATATATATATATATATATATATGCGTGTGTGTGTGTGTGTG